CACAGCGTCCCCTAGTGTCTCAGTGTCCCCATGTTTCCCAGTGTCTCCAAGTGTCTGTGTCCCAAGGTCTCTCAGTGTCCATTAGTGTCTCAGTGTCCCAATGTCTCCCTGCAGCCTTTCCCCTCATCCCTCACTTCCCTATGCTGTAGGCTGTCTCTGCAGGTTGGGAGCTGCTGTCTGAACTCTCTGTGCTGTGTAGCTGCTCCCCTGCGGATCAGTGAGTAGAGAGAGGCAGGGAGGGAGATGCTGTAACTTCATATCCCTGTCTCTCTCCACACACACAGTGACCCCTACTGGCAGGCGCTGGTATTGCAGAGTAATCTCTGTTTATACTGAGAAAAATATCTGCATTTGTATTGCCGGTATTACTGCAATACCGGCACGGCCAGGCAGCCTCTAATACCATCTGTGCCAGTAAAATACCAGTCAGGTGGTAAACCTAAGAGTAGAGTGTTAAAAAAAAAAAAACTATGTAAAAAAAAATTGTAAAAAAAGTTTTTTTTTTTTTTTTTTAAATGGGCCTATTCCATGGGCCTGGGCCTGGAGCTGCAGCTCCATCAGCCCCTATGTTAATCCAGCCCTGGAACCACCAGGGATTCCCCACCAGACCACCAGGGAATAAGAAATGTCCCCCCTCCTCCCAGTAAAGGTAAGAAGGGAGGGGGGACATAATGAATATTTATTTTATTAAATGCATTTTTTTTGTATTATTATTAAAAAGCCTCCCTACCCTCCTTCCCCCCCATACAAACACTGCCCCCATACACACACTACACACACTGCCCCACAAACACTGCCCCCCATAAACACACTACACACACTGCCCTACAAACACTGCCCCCCATACACACACTACACACACTGCCCCTACAAACACTGCCCCCATACACACACTACACACACTGCCCCACAAACACTGCCCCCATACAGACACTACACACACTGCCCACAAACACTGTCCCACATCACACACTACACACACTGCACCCATACACACACTACACACACTGCCCCATACTCATACTACACACACTGCCCCCATACACACACTACACACACTGCCCCACAAACACTGCCCCCATACACACACTACACACACTGCCCCACAAACACTGCTCCACATACACACACTACACACACTGCCCCCATACACACACTACACACACTGCCCCAAAAACACTGCCCCCCATGCACACACTCCTCCAAACGCACATACAGTGCCCCCCATACACACACTGCCCCAAACACACATACACTGCAAGCCTCACACACACACACACTGCAACTCACACATACACACACACTGCACCGCTCACACACACACTGCCCCACACATACACTGCCCCCTAACCCACACACTGCAACCCTGACATACACTGCCGCCCTCACACACTCGCACACACACTTCACCGCTCACACACACACACACACACTGCACCCCTAACACTGCTCCTATGCCCTATATCCCAGCAGACCCCAAGTAAGTTGTCAAACTGTTCTTAAACGGTTTGACTGCTTACTCTGGCATGGGATCCTGGCACTACTGGCACCATAACTACTACACTGAGCTGTAGTGGTTATTGTGCCTGGATTATTTCTTTAAATAATCTACAAGTGCCCCTCCGGAGATCAGGCTCTGGATCCGCCACTGCCCATTTGCAATACCTTGGGTTGTCTTCTTTTGCAAATGGTATGCCATGATGGGGGTAATTCTCATTCCTGAGCTACCATACGCTCTCAAAGGCAACATAACCAATCTGACAAATTTCAATGAAAAAAAAAAGTAAAATCATGCCTTATATTTGACGCTGTAACTTTCAAAAACACTATAACATCTCTACATGTGGGGTACTGTTATACTCGGGAGAATTCACTGAATACAAATATTAGTGTTTCAGAACAGTAAAACATATCACAGCAATAATATCATCATTTGTGTGTGAAAAATGCAAAATACGTCACTTTCACTGACAATATCATCCCTGTGATATGTTTTACTGTTTTGAAAGACTAATATTTGTGTTCAGCGAAGTCTCCCGAGTAAAACAGTACCCCCTATGTATAGGTTTTAGGGTTACATAGTTACATAGCTGAAAAGAGACTTGCGTCCATCAAGTTCAGCCTTCCTCACAAATGTTGTTGCTGTTGATCCAAAAGAAGGCAAAAAACCTGGTCTGAAGCTCTTCCAATTTTTCCACAAACTAGGAAAAAATTCCTTCTTGACCCCAAAATAGCAGTCAGATGTCTCCTTGGATCAAGCAGCTATTACCCCACTAATTAGAAATTATATCCCTGTATGTTATGTTTTTGTAAGTATTTATCCAATTTCAGTTTAAACATCTGTATGGACTCTGACAAAATCACCTCTTCAGGCAGAGAATTCCATATCCTTATTGTTATTACTGTAAAAAAACTTTTTCTTTGCCTTAGATGAAATCTCCTTTCTTCCAACCTAAATGTGTGACCTGTTTATGAATAGATTTCCAGATAAAGGTTTGTACTGGCCCCAAATATATTTGTATAAATATACGATTCCTATGACCGAAAAACTCGAAACAACTTTATTTGTCAATGACAATGTTTACATATATACAATATTGGTTTCCATACATTTAAATTGTTATTCAACAAGTTATTTGTAAATGAAGGGGTACGTTAGATGTATTTATGAAAATTCTCTTTGTGTGTGAGCTTTATTTACGCTCAATGTCCCTTAAATCATATATTATAGAGAAAAGAAGTATTATCCTATATTTTCAATGATAGTAATATACAATAAAGGAGGAAATATTTGAATAACCCCATATATGAGGTTGAAGTTCCTTTCTAATAAAATAGTTCTACGTGAATTATAGGAAAAGAGGAAGTTGTGTGGTAGATAAGGGTTTAAGCGTTAGAATGGAATGGATATAGTTTCAACTGAAAAAATACACCTACTACCATGACCCCTAGAGATTTATAATAGGTTAAGGTTAATTAGATTATATACAACTATATGACTTCATCTCTGGGACTTGCCAAAAACCTCAAAACAATAAACAATAAAAGCATACTCACAAGTGGTGTTATGTGTGAAAGTGTATGTGCTGTCCTTTAGTGGGGACTCCGCTTCCTGTCGGGTGGCAGACTGTAAAAAGGTCAACATAGAAGTATAAGGAGAGTTTGAGAGCCAATCAGACCATTCATGGTCGAAGTCAGGCACTGTGAGGTGGGCATAAAAAATAATTACATATTAATTAGACCATTTAATAAGTTCGGATAAGAATTTTAGCAAGGATTTGCATAAACCCACTCCTATACCCTATAGGAGGTGCTTAAGGTCATAGTCTTTCAAACCCATTGGATATAATGTCTCCAAAGTACTTATCCACTTAGTTTCTTTCTGGAGTAAAAGTTTTTGTCTGTCACCTCCCCTAAGTAGGGGTTTGACACTGTCAATTACCTGGAACTGTAATTGGTTAACACTGTGCCCTTGCTGTTTAAAATGTCTAGGCACCGGGTTTTCACATACTCCTCTCTGCATTGCTGCCCTAATGCCTCTCTTGTGCTCTCCAATACTTTCTTTGACCGGCTTGATCGTCTCCCTCACATAAAGAAACCCACAAGGACATTTCAAAATATAAACCACATAATCTGAGTTGCATGTGTAGTAGTCATGTATCTTATATCGTTTACCTGAGTGTGGGTGTGTGAAATGTTCACTCCTGATTATGCTGTTACAATGTATGCATCCAAGGCAAGGGAAAGTACCTTTCTTGGGTTCAGAGAAAAAGGGTTTTGTTTCTTACTACTTCCGATATCCGATACCGATACATTTCTAAGATTCTTAGCTCTTTGGCAGGAGAATAGTGGAGGATTGTTGAATTCTTTAGGTAGATTTACATCACCTTCAAAAATGTTCCAATATTTCATTATAATTTTCTTGATATCCTTTCTATATGGTGTGTAGGGAGATATAAAAGGGATTGTCACTTACTCTGGTTGAATTAAGCGCATTTTCTCTGTCTAAGTTCTGTACTCTATCCTTGTGTTTTTCTACTAGCTCTAGTGCGTAACCCCTATTTACAAATTTACTGCACATAAAATCTAGTGCCGATTGGATCCGGTTCTCTTGTGAAACTATCCTCCTCACTCTTAACGCTGGCTATAAGGAAGACCATCCTTCAGATGTTGTGGGTGATAGTTGGTGTACGCCAGATGATTGTTCCTGTTCATCGGTTTGGTGTAGATGTCTGTATGTAATTTATGTTGGGTCAAATGTACCTGTGTGTCTAAGAATGGGACATTGTATCTGTCACATGTCATGGTAAATTTGATGTTGGAGTCCAAGTAGTTCAGTTGGTTAAAGAATATGTCCAGTTGGGCTCTCGTGCCACCTTAACATACAAATACATCATCTATAAACCTTTTCCATGTGAGACATTTCTTATACAAATATAGTGGTATATACATAGAGTTCTTCTAGACGGTTCATATATATATTAGCATATGTTGAGGTGACATTCAAACCCATGGCCGTCCCTCTTATCTGTCTGTAATACTTGTCCTCAAAGAGAAAATCATTCTCCCTGAGAACAAATTGTGGTAGATCCAGTATATATTTCTTGGTGTCTATATATTGTGTTAGATCATTGTCCATTCCACCGCTGTTAGTCCACCAACATGATCTATCGATGTGTATAAGGATTGGTCATCTAGAGTCACTAGCCAAATCTCTTCGTGATCTTCTAGAGAGAAATTACCTATCAATTTAAGGAATTCATTTGTATCCTTAATGTACAATTTCTGTGTTGGTATGTATTTGAAAAGAAATTTGTCCAAGATTTCTGCTGGTGGCTGCAGAACTGACCCTGTCCCACTAACTATCGGTCTTCCTGGTGGGAATTGTGGGTTTTTGTGTATCTTAGGGATAGTATAGAACACTGGAATAATTGGATGTTCATGTATCTATACTCTCCCTCAGAGATTATACCCTTGTCCTTAGCATCCCTCTTGAGTCCCTGTAAGATTATTTGCAATTTTTGAGTGGGGTCTCTGTCTATCAACTGGTTGCTATCGGTGTTGGTAAGTTGAGATCTGATTTCCTTTATGTAACAGGCTCGATCTATATTTACCAATGCCCCGCCTTTGTCAGCGGGTTTGATAATGATCGACTCATCCTGTTTAAGAATATTCAGGATTAGCCACTATTTCTTAGTGAAGTTGGGTGTTTGTTGGAAGTATCTACTTCTATTGAACTTTTTCTACCTCAGTTTTTTTATGTCCCTCTTCACTAAGTTGGAGAATCTGTCAATAGACCGGTTAATGAAATTTGGTGTATAAGTGCTTTTAGGTCTCAAACCTGTTTGCAAAGGTAGAGATAGATCTGTGGATGAGTACTGTACATTTTAGGCCATATTGGCCAAATTAGAAAAATAAACTCCAATTTGTTCTCATTCAAATTCTCACATATCCAGGATAGTATCATATATTGCTCCTGTACATAGGGCTGCCGACAAAAAAAACAAAAAACAAACATTGTCAGATACACAAGTGCACACTTACATTGCTACACATGCTCCCAAAATACACACAAATTCATATTGCCAAACTCACACAGACCTGCATAGATAGTGATACACACTGCCAGACCGATACAAAGACTAAAATACTCGAATACAGACACACACAGATAAACAATGTCAAACAAATGCACACAAGCGAAGACACACACAATGTCAGCACATTAGCACTGTCAGACACATATACATAATGTAAGATACACATACACAGTTACAGAGGTCAGGAACACATACACAGTCAAACACATTATGTCAAACACGCACACACCCATATCTTGTGAGACATACATACATAAACAGAAAAACAATTTCAGATGCACACATATCCAAAAACAGATGCACACTCTGCCAGACAAACACACTACCAGACATACATAAACAATATTGGCAACAAATACTTGACATTAGTTGTTCACCTATGCCCTTCTTCTAATCCACAGTCTGCCATATATGCCATCACTCCCTAGTTAGCCAGAACCTCTTCCCCTTTCCTTTTCATCCTCCTCAGTTAAAGCCCAGTCAACCAAACTTTTCCTGAACTGTACTGCTTCACAAGGCAGCCCCACTGCCATGTAGAATGTGTCAACCTTTCAGAGAACATTAGCAGTGCTTCTAACATGACACGGCCTGAATGCTAGCAATCCAGTGTAGTGGTTTTGTGTGTAGGGCGTTAGACACTTCACTACACAACACATGAAAGCCTGTTTGAAATTTGCAAAAAAGATTATGAGAAACAAGATCCTCGATGCGTTGAAATGAAAATTGAACTGTTTGTGGAAATAATTCAAAGCATCATTTCTGGAGGAAACCATACACCACTCATCACCTATGCAAAACCACCCCAACAGTGAAGTATGTTGTTGGTGGTAGTATTATGATGCTTTGGTGGTCTTTTTCAGTGACAGGGACTGGGACACTGGTCAGGGTTGAAGAAAAACTGAACACGGCAAGATACAGAGAATACAGAGACATTCCTAATGAAAACTGGGGCTAGAGAGCTCAGTACCTGAGACACAGTGTGTGTCTTTGTGTGCTGGGGATTGGCTTCCTATGTGCAGCACACTGTGTGTGCACAGCATTCAATCAATACACTTACCCTTGCTGTATCCATGGTGGTGTGACTTCTGGTTAGAGTTGAGTCTGAACTGACTCCTCGCAGCTCCGCTCCTCATTTTCCTACCACTGAAGACTGCCATGTTCCTGCATCAGGAAGCTGTATGTCCTGCCGCCTGTGCTGCCCTGTGGGTGGCCAGCATGCAGATAGTCAAGCACTAAGAGGTATTCTGTCACGCCAGCTGAACCCACAGCACTGAAGTAAAGTACGTAAGTAAAGAAAATCACTGAAGTTCCGACACACACAGCTAGTAATATCAGAGAACCAAAACTTCAGTGATAAACATGCATAACCAAGAGTCAACCCCAGATCAGCCACCCTCTCCCAACGTCCTTGATATTTAAAAATTTTGGGCAGCATCACAGCCCACCCCGGCAGAGGGACTGATTCTCCCAAACTGCTTTTAGATAATGACTGGGGTGGCAAAAAAGCCACCCCTGTCAAAGTGCAGCCTAGAGCCATGGCCCTACCGGGACCTATGGATGGGCTGGCCCTGGTCTGAATATTTGTGTCAACGTGGTATTTTTTTCTGTTTAATATATTTGCAGTGGTGTCAAAAATATTTTTGCTTTGTCATTATGGAGTATTGAGTGTCGATTGATGTGAAAAAAAAGAAAATAATAAGTTAAACAATTGTAGCTTAAAGGGACATGAGTCAATTGACAATGATCTTTTTTTTTAAATCCGCAAGCAAACACTTTAAAACAATTATACAAACCAAAATAAGCAAGAAAAACTTAGAAAATTACGTAATAAATGTTTATAAACATGTTGTAAATTTAGACATTTGGCTGTGAGAGTAGGACCTGCCAAAGGGGTACAGTGATGTTGTGGCAGGCTTAAGCAATGTATGATCATATAATGTAACTAAACATCCATTATTTTTTGCCTTGATTAGGTGTTTTTTAACCCCTTAAGGACGGTGGGCGTGCCGTCCTTGAGGACCCGGCTCTAAACGCTGGGGGTCGGCATAGCATGCCCCCGCCATCCTATTAAGTTACCCGGTCGCCGCCGATCCCACGCCGGCGATCGCGGTGGGGGGACTCACCTGGCATTCCAGGGAGTCCCCCTGTTCCCGTTGCGGCCCTCCCGGGCCACGTGATCGCAAGGTCCTTGCGAGAACCTCATGATCACATGGACGCCATAGCCGTCCACAGCAACGCCAGCAGGGGGAGTTCCTGGAATGACAGGTACTTCCCCTGCTGCCGGTAAAAAGTAAAAAAAAAATATATATTTTTATTATACATATGATCTAAGTATATATGTATATACATATACATACATAATTATATATATTAATTTTAAAATACACGTAGAATGATATTGATTAAATATATATAACTATATATTTATATATAATATAAAATAAATAAATATGTAAATACGTTAAAAAATAAAATATAAAAATAATAAAAAATAAATAAATAAAAACTATATATGTGTAATTTTGTTCTAACTGTATTTTAAAATCAATATATATATATATATATATATATATATATATATATAGATATCAAAATACACGTAGAACAAAATAATATATATATCTTTATACATAATATACATAAGGTGTCCTCAGGGCCGCCATCAGGGGGTGACAACCGTGACTGTTGTCACGGGCCCGGCGGTCCTGGGGGGCCCGGACTGCTCTGACAGTCCTGGGCCCCACTTTCTTTCTCTGCACACATAGATAGCGCATATCGCTATCTATGTGTGCAGCCGCGGGCCCCCGGCTCCCTGTTACCGCAGAGGGTGCCCAGGCAGCACACAGCTTCTCCTCCTGTCTTCTCTCTTCTCATAACTCTTGCGAGACCCGCTGAGCGTTGCCATGGTAACCGGGTATCGCGAGAGTTATTAGAAGAGAGAAGAGAGGAGAAGCTGTGTGCTGCCTGGGCCTCCTCTGCGGTAACAGGGAGCCGGGGGGGGCCCCCACCGGACCACCAGGGATGGAATCTCCCCCCTCCCTGGACACAAGTAAGCAGGGAGGGGGGAGAAACATTTAATTAAATTAATAAAAAATGTATGTTAAAATGCTCCTTCCTCCCCCTCCCTCCCAGATCACACATTTACACAACACACACTGCATACACTAACACACACACACACACTGCATACACTAACACACACACACACACTGTATACACTAACACAACACACACACACTGCATAAACTAACACAACACACACACACACACACTGCATACACTAACGCACTGCATACACTGCATACACTAACACACTGCATACACTGCATACACTAACACACAACACACACTGCATACACTAAAACACAACACACACTGCATACACTAACACAACACACACTGCATACACTTACACAACACACACACTGCATACACTAACACACAACACACACACTGCATACACTAACACAACACACACACACACTGCATACACTAACACCACACACACTGCATACACTAACACAACACACACTCTGCATACACTAACACAACACACACTCTGCATCCGCTACACACTAACACACTCTCTGCATTCACTACACATTAACACTGCATTCACTACACTAACACACACTCTGCATCCGCTACACATTAACACACACTCTGCATTCACTACAAATTTACACACACTCTGCATTCACTGCACTAACACACACACTACATTCATTACACTGACACTCTGCATTCACTACACACTAACACACACTCTGCATTCATTACACACTAACACACTCTGCATTCATTACACACTAACACACACTCTGCATTCATTACACACTAACACACACTCTGCATTCACTAAACTATGCACACACTCTGGATTCACTATACTGACACACACTCTGCATTCACTACACTAACATACACTTTGCAT